AGATTTGGCCAGTCTTCTGGCACAACTGCTTTGTATTACTTCATGGGAGGTTTAATAGTATTTTTAATGCAATTTGCTATACTAAGAAATAGGTAGTAAATCCTGGATTGGCGTAAAGTGTTTTGAGGTCCTGTTCATGAGTGAAATATTGTTCTGCTCAATGCTCTTGAATTCTTGCTTTAAAAACAAACCAGTGGAACCCAAACTTTTCCTGTACTGAAACTTTCACATCTCAAAACACTAAGCTGTGTTTGCTGAAGTGCTTCACAGAAATGAATGAGCTCGTGATACAACTAGGTTGCAATGCTTAATTTTTGTGGCAGTTAGTGTTCTCTGTTAATATAAAGCCACCTAGCAGTTGAGGCTTAAATTTTGACTATTAATTTTAGGAGATGGAGGTTCATACATAATCTGATGTCTGTTTTTGAATCTTGGTGGCATTAGAATAAGAATATTCTGTTAGATCAAGGTGAAGTATCAAGGGCGAACGTTTAAATCGTCAATGGGCCTCTCCTGTAACTGAACTTCAAAAGCTTATTTAAAGATTAATTTTTTTCAATATTCAGTTTTTAAGCACATCAGTTTGTTGAAAGCCTGTCATTAGTGTAGGACAGCTTATAGAGCACACTAGAGTTTGATGCTGCCTTCACCCATTCAAGATACGTGTCACAGCTGAGTCCTAACCTTGGGCTGATGTCTCTTGGTGTGAAACAGAGGCGTAAAAGGGATAAAGATTTTTCACATACCCTGAAGGATTCAGCAAAAGATGGAGCTATCTGAACACTGACAATGCTGCAAAACCCTCTTGCCCCAGCCTGTCCACCACAGGCAGAAAGTGCCTGACCAAGGGCAGAGCTGCAGCCCTGGCCTGGAGGATGGGGCAGGAGGGACATGGCAAGAGCATGGCATCTCTTGCAGGAGAAGCTCAGCTATATTCCTATTTACTTTTCCTCCTTTCTTAACAATGAAAACAGAACAGGAATATTTATTTATTTTCATTTTTCATTGCACAGTGTCAGGCCCCTGGCTCTGGGGGATCAGCTCCTCTATTCATGGAGAAAGAGCAACGGGATTGCCAATGAAACAGCCATCTGCTGAACAAAATACCTGGGATTATAATTGCAGCTATTATGGGACTGGTTGTGGTTTTTTATGTGTGTTTGGCTTTTATGTGTGAGCATGTAACAGATTCCTGTAGTTTTAAAATCAATTGTAAAAAAAAATTGACTGGAGTAGCATTGCTTAATATAAATCGACCTATTTGTTGCAAGTTCATTTTCTGCCTTGAAAAAATAGGAAAGATAGGGAGGTTGCAGTGTGTTTTCCAGCAAGAATTACGTATGCAATGTTTGTATTGAGCAAAATGGCTCTTTTATGAGGTATTGGAAAGTTTTTAAACTTGGCAATGAGATGAGACCCCCTTGAGATGATCATCAAAATCCCTTTAATAGTTAAGATTCGGCCTGAGTGCTTTTCGCTACCTTTGCTTTTCAGTTTGCCAGCAATTCTGTATTTTATAGCCCTCATTATTTTTTTTGACTTGTTGGATTTTTATCGAATAATATTTTCACAGACAAATCTCTCTATTTAGCCCTGTCTGGTTGTGTTCACTTACCAATCCTCAAATCAGATTTATATAATTACATATGTTCATGTGCTCCAGAACTGAAAATTACATCACTGGGTTTTATTTTGGTTTAATTTATCTTCCTCAATGACTGACTTTACCACCTCTTGTAATGCCACATGCTACAAGTGGAAACAACTTGCTTGAAGTACCTGGAGGGTAGTTCGGGAGTTGATGCACATGAGGTGCCTTTTAGGCTCTTGGAGCAGCTCCCTGTAGGACCCATCCTGCAGTTCCATACCAAAGCAGTTCCTCCATTTCAAGCTTTCTATTGGGAATACACTCTTATTTTTGTGTATTTATCCTCACTGTTTTATCCCTTTGCATGATGATTCAGCTGCTTCCCAGTGCAGTTTATTCCGTTGACTAATTGCTCTATTAAGACTCTTTTCCTCTTATCTAACTTGACTTTCTTTTCCTATTAGATTATTGTTCTTTTATGATAATTTTAATATTAATTTGTACAAGTGAAATTAAATATTCATATTTCCTCAGGCTTTGGGATGCATTTTACTGCTACAGAAATGTGCCTGGCCTACCTTGAATTTGAAATGTTATGGGACATTTACTTTTTTCCCCAAGATTCTCCAGGTGGTTTAGTGATTTGGGTACACCGGGAGGAGAAATGACTTGCAGCCTTTAGGAAGCATTTAACCAATTTTAGGGACCAGTTATTTACTTTAACACACAGCAGGGTATGTTTTATGTTTTATGTATGGTTTATAATTTTCACACAGGCAGACAGTGAAAGGAAAAGGGGGAAGGGTTTTAAACTAAAAGAGGAGAGATTTAGATGAGATGTTAGGAAGAAATACTGTATTCAGAGGGTAGTGAGGCCCTGGAACAGGCTGGCCAGGGAAGTTCTGGATGGTCTATCCCTGGTAGTGTTGAAGACCAGGTTAGATGGGACTCTGAGCAACCTGGTCTAGTGGAAGTCATCCCTGCCCTTGGCAGGGGTTGGAATGAGATGATCTTTCAGGTCTCTTCCATCCCAAACTGTTCTGTGATTCTATGATACACTGTTGGGCATCAGGACAGACCTGTGGCAGGAGCATTGCATGGCATTTCTCAACACTTCTCTTTTGCAGGTCACTGGGGCCGGTGCGTAGGTGACTGCGGCTCGGGGGGCGTTCGGAGTCGAGCCGTCTGGTGCACCCACACAGAGGGCTGGACCACGTTCCACGCCAACTGCGACCAGCAGGACAAGCCCGAAAGCCAGAGGAGGTGCTTTAAAGTCTGTGACTGGCACCTGGAGCTGTTCGAGTGGGAGGTTTCGGGATGGGACAGGTGTGGGCTCGTCTCCGTTGCTGTCGGTGAGGTGGGAGCCGAAACTTGTGTCACCGCGCAGCACGGGCTGCAGCGCCGCAGCGTCCGCTGCCTCCAGAAACTGAACAGAACCGCTGTGGCCAGTGAGATATGTGAGTATTTCACCCCACAGCCACCTGCTGAGCAAGCCTGCCTCGTGCCCTGCCCGCGGGACTGCGTCGTCTCCGAGTTCTCCGGCTGGTCTGAGTGCGGCACGGACTGTGCCAAGAGTCTGCAGCACCGCACGCGGGCGGTCATTGCTCCCCCGCTCTACGGGGGAGCCCCCTGCCCGAATCTGACTGAATCCAGAGCCTGTGGAGCTCCTGCCTGTCCCCTCGGGAAGGAGGAGCACACCTACAGCCTCCGTGTGAGCGCCTGGGGCGAATGCCAACTGCCCCATCCGAAGGACTCGGAGCTGGCCGGGAGGACTATGCAGGATTTGGGTTTGGACTCTGGAGAGCGAAGCACGTCTGGACTTCATGGCTCTAAACCACACCACCACGCTGGGGAGGTGGAGATTGGTTACCAAACGAGGCAGGTCAGGTGTGTAAGGAGCGATGGAAAACATGCAGCACTGAGGTAAGGCTACTTCCTCTTCCTTTTTATCCACAGAGGGTTTGTGTGGTGGAGCTCTGGCTCTGCCTGGCCGCACCGCAGCAAATGAGCTCCTGGCTTTGAGTTTTATATGGAAATTTTTGTGTCTTCTTTATGGACTTTTTCTTGATTTAATTTCCTTCTAGCATATGCTGAAGATTGTGCATTCTTCTACGATTTGTGACTATTTAATTCATTTTATATTTTTAATAATTCTCTTCCATTATGTTTTTTGTTGTTTTGAGGAAATGGAATTATATATCACTTCGTGCTGTTGTTGGGCCCTGGCTGTGGGAGGGGGAGGTTTCATTCTCAGTCATGTACTGCATATATTTGGCAGAAGAGGCTAAAATTGCACGAACTTCAACTCCTTCATTCTTACAAATCAACACTGGGTAAAATGAGTCTGAAAAGTTTGGCCTTGTGAATTTGCTAGAAGGTATATTTTGGAAAGAAATCAGTGAGCAAACTTGTGACTGTCATCCTCATGAAGTTTAATAAAATGAAGTGCAAGGTCCTACATCTGGGCTGTGGCAATCCCAGGCACACCTACAGGTTGGATGGGGAAGTAATTGAAACTAGCAGTGAGGAGAAAGACTTAGGAGTGACAGTGGGCAAGAGACTCACAATGAGCTAGCAGCCCAGAAAGCCAGTTGAGTCCTGGACTGCATCAAAAGGAGTGTGGGCAGCAGGTCAAAAGAGGTGATTCTTCCCCTCTGCTCTTGTGAGACCCCACCTGTAACACTGTGTGTAGTTCTGGTGTCCTCAACATAAAAAGGACATAGAACTGTTGGATCAAGTCCAGAGAAGGCCATGAAATTGATAAGAGGACTGGAGCATCTCTCCTATGAGGACAGGCTGAAGAAATTGGGGCTGTTCAGCCTGGGGAAGAGAAGACTGCGTGGAGACCTCAGAGCAACTTTTACATATCTGAAGGGCCTAAAAGGAGACGGGGAGGGACTCTGGGTTAGGCAT